CTTATTTATAGAAATTTTTTTTATTTACTTGTTATTAGTATAATTCTATTGGAGGTGATCCCTGCCAAAACTACTCTTAAATAATATGTACTTTACTTCTATTGATGGCACACCATGTGGCACGATGACTAAGCTTCTGAAATAGCAGCAGTGATATAACTAACATGGAATGGTATCGAAGTGGTGACTAGTTTACACAATGGCAGAGTATATTATTTTTATTATGATAATTATAGAGCTAACAAGAGAGCGATTAACTCATCATGTGATCTGCAACAAAAACAGTCAAAAAGTCGGGTTTAAGGTGGTCTTGCTCTGTGAGTTACAGAGTCCTGAGGTCCTTGCAATGCTATGAAGATGGTAGGACAATGGACCAAGGCGTTCTAGCTTCAGCTGGAGATTGTGTTTAGAAAGATCCTTCTGAGAGGAAATCTGGATGAGGGATTGAGTGAGGATGAGTCTGTTGCCTGTGACTTGGTCAGGAGAGCTCTTAAGGTTCTTTGTTCACTAGAAGTGCAATTTGAAAGCACAATAGTGATATCTGCCCCACAATGTGATACCTTACTTTAGAATTCCCAAAGCTCAGCTTGAGTACCTTGTAGAGAATAACTTCACAGCACCACAAATGGCAAGCATTATTGGAGTGTCTGTTTGAACCGTTCATCGCAAGCTAGCTGATTATGAAATATCACTCTCTTCTAAGTATTCAAACTTGACAGATGATGAACTTGATGAAATTGTAAGCGGTGTCCAAAAAGACCACCCAATGTGTGGAACAAAGCAAATGCAGGGACATCTTTTCAGTTTGGGATTAAGAGTCCAGCAGAGCAGAGTGAGAGAGTCTCAAAGGCAAATTGATTCTCACAGTAGTATCATTCATCGACTCCGTACTATCAATAGAAGGAGTTACAATGTCAGGGTCCCTTGATCCATGTACCACATTGATGGGAACCACAAATTTATTCTGTGAGCTCTTTTATTAATTACAGCATATTTAACTTATCTATGACTTTATGTCAAGTCAAGACACTACCCTGAAGATTTATGAAACTATATTCTAAAATTACTACTAATGAACTGCAATCTGAATTGAGTGAAAAAATAATTTGCGATGCACAGTGTATTGATAACGCAGTTAATGAGTCTGGGCAAATTTACTGGATTATTGATAATTTTTGTATGTATTATAGGATTCTGCTAATTAAACCTGTTATATTTGCCTGTCATTTTGTAGGTGGAGACTGGATATTCATGGATGCATTGACGGCTATAGCTGCAGAATAATCTATCTTAATTGTAGTAACAATAACAAGGCTGAGATAGTATTTGAGGCATTTGTTGATGGTGTGCAACAATTGGGTCTACCTAAGAGAGTTTGCGGGGATAGAGGGGAGAATATACAAGTGGCAGCATGTATGCTTGAGCATCCAATGAGAGGAATAGGTAGAGGAAGTTTTATAATGGGCCAAAGTATACATAACCAGAGAAAAAGCGGTTATGGGGAGTTATTTTTAGTCAGTGTACCATGATCTTTTACCAGCTGTTTTACTACATGGAAGACAACGGGATATTCTCTATAGATAATGAAAGCCATATGTTTGTCTTCATTACGTATGCATCCCAAGAATAATTGAGTCACTCAAGCAGTTTTTACATGCTTGGAATAATCATCACATGTCCTTAAAGGAAAACCTGACTAACTTAGCTTTGAATTACTGGATTCGCCAAATATTGGAACCAGCCAATAGAGAGCTATCAGAAGTAAGTCCATTTACTGTTACTAATAATTGTTAATGTTTTTCTTTTCCAAGGAGAAATTAGTCAATTACGGAATTGCTTTGAATGGGCCTCTCCCATCTGATGAAGAAATAGAAATCATAACTGTATCAGATACAGTTATTCCTTCAATTGCTGACATATGATGTGTTACATGAAAACGTGGACCCACTTGCTTATTCAAGAGACTATGGAATTTACTTCTATTTTAAAGCATTACAAATAGTGTCTTGATTGGAATATGTACTTTGATTTAAAAAAGTTAATTGACTGAACTGCTATAAAAACCAAAATCTTAACAAAGAGCAAAAATCAGTCATAATAATTATTTTGCAGAAGAAATAATAACAAGAACAAAAAATCATTGATACTATGAAACAACTGTAAATGTTAGGTCACAAATGCTCTTAAGTTACACCTATTATAATAAGCTAGACATATAATAAGTAGGATTAAGAATAGATGTGAAACAAAGTGTTTGTTGCAATTATAAACCTTCTGAATTAAGGGAGTGCTTTTGCCCGAGAAAGAAAAATTTAGTACACGAGACAGAGTGGTACCAGCAATTTTACTATGCACCTGTAATGCAGATTTTATTAAATTTATGAATCAAAGTACAAAGAGTTACCCTCCTCCATCTCATCCAAATTTGCAGCATGTAGTTCTTTTGTTCATTCTCATTTAGGAATATTGAATGACCTCAAATATTGCTTTTAATGTGTCTGAAATGTAAGTGAGAATTGGTCAGACTTTTGAAATTAGTAACGCAATGAAGGGGGTAAAATATAAGTATGCATTGCTGGAATTATTTTTAACATAAAAAAAATAATTTTGAGCACCTGTCAATGAACTGTTACCTGCAGTTGAGAAGATTCTCTTAGACACAGTTCAAGTGTGAGACTGATTCTTCTAAAATATAACAATCATATATTACAAAATGCAAAAAAACTCATCACCTCATCAATAACAACTGAAACACAGTACTAACCTGCAACTTCTTCTGACTATATTCTCACTAGAATAATTACCAACTATAAAAGGATGACATAAAAGCCTGATCCACCTTGAACTAAACGCAGTCATTGAGGCAGCTGTCCAATGGTATAAATGAGTTATCCTGAATTTTAAAATATAGCTTACTGTAATGGCTAGTAACAGAAGTACCAATGGTGTCTTCAGTGCATGTTCAGCTACCTGTACATTTGTCCTTCTCCCCAACAAACTCCACCTAAAAGATTGTGTATACACAATGCATGCACCCTTTAATTGAAACAACAATGTAATTATGTTGAACTTCTGATCTCCTGAAAAGCTTCATAATTATGTATGACATGGTTACTTCATGTTATCAGTCGTATTGGTAAAACTTACTTATGTCTGTTGTGAAAAGTGCTAAGATAAATACCATACAACTAGTATCAAAGATTCCCTTTTCCCAAATGCCTTAATTGAATCTCAAAGCTATCAACAACAGTTTGCCGCAGACTTGGCGACTGCAGCTACTTCACTTTGTAATAATTCGTCATCATTACTCCGACACTTGATTCATAAAATCAAATCCTTTAACCAGAAAAACAGCAGTAAAATTAATTGTACAACAACACAGTTACAAAAACTTACCTGTATTTGAGCACAACTCTTTAGTGCTTGGAATTGGAAATGTACAAAAAATCATAATAGTTCTTTTACTTTTTAAATATAAAACCAAGCATAACACAGTTAACCACATTTATCACTATTCAGTATGCACAAGCACACATAATTGTATCTCAGTTCATAATTTAGTTTCTTTACTTTATTGGGGCAAGCCTTAGCTCGCCCCACTTAGGCGAGAAAGCGTCTGTATGTATGTATGTATGTATGTATGTATGTATGTACGTACGGGGATGATAGGGTCATCCAACAATGATTAATGTTATTAAACCAATAAACAATAATGCTGCTCACGTGCATGCATACTGTTCATAATTCAATATAAACCATAGATATTATACAACAGAGCATTTTCCACGTGTCGTTTGTAAAGCAACATTAATTTTGTTATTCAAGTGAATTTGAGAAATGAACCAAGACAAAGCTCGTAATAGTCGTCGTAGGGAGCTCTACAGACAGAAGATGGCTGCAGAGACTCCTGAAGTAAGAGAAGCCAGACTCGCTAGAAGAAGAGTCACAGATAGAGCTTGTAGGGACGCTGAGACTCCTGAAGCAAGAGAAGCCAGGCTGGCAGCT